GGCCAGGGTGGGGGGCGGGGAGCGGCCGAGGGCCACTGACTCCCGGAATCGGCGTTCTAACCTATTCGGGGGTCCCTTTCGGGTTTCCGGGGTGCCTGTTCGCAAGGGCGCAAGAGAGGGTCGCGGGGCGAGCGGAGGCCCGCAGCATCCGTGGCCCGGCGGCGGCAGCGAGGGACCCGCGTGTCCCCTGAGAAGGCCACGTAGAGATGGCGCCCCGTCGGAGCGCGGGCACAGGTGGCCAGGCGCTGGGATGTGGGTGCAGACCCTCGCGTCCCTGCCCAGGGTCCTTGGCTGCGGGCGGGGCGCGCAGCCGCCACCTGCCTGAGCAGGCGGAGCCGGCCGCTAGGTTCCTAGAGCCGCAGCCGGAGCCCGAGCGCCCCCCGGTGCCGCGAGGGAGCCCTGGGCAGGCGCAGAGCGGCGAGGGCGGCCCCAGGTGCGGGGCGCGGGGCGGATGGCAGGGCCGGCCCGGATCTGGGCCGGGCGTGGGTCCTGCGTCCCACTGAGAGCAACGCACGGGCAGAGAAGAGAGGAGTGGGGCGGTCAAGAAAGCGCAAACCTACCTGCGTGACCGAGCTCTCCCGATCCATCTAAGCGGCTCGCTTGGGAGACCCACTCAAAATACCAGGATAATACCTCCCTGGTCCTCAGTGCGTCGCACTCGCGAAAACTCGGGCTCAGCCCTCAAGGATTTGGGGGTCTGGAGAAGCCCTCTCTTGGCGAGTTCCGACGATGTGAAAGGGCAGCGTGATTCTCACCGAGCCAAAACCACTCACAAGCCGCCAGTGCGCTCGAGGCCCGCGGTTGCGCGGAGGGGAAGGGGCGGCCGCCAGCGGAAACCCGCGCTCCGCGCCCCCCGCCCTGCCATCAATCACTTCGCCCGCGCGCCGCCCGGAATCCCCTGCCTAGCGCGCTGCAGGGCCCGCGCCTTGCAGCCCAGGCACGCCTTTCCGAGGCGCCCGGAGACGCTGCGACCGGTCCGCCCGGCGCGGACCCACCAAGGCATGTCCCCAGAACCGTGGTCTTTGCAAAGAGCAAACGAAGCGGTGCGGGTCTGGGGGCGCCTCGAGC